ATGGCTTATTTAATTATCCTGCTTACTGACCACTACCTCCTCCTCTTGTATTTTACTTATTTACCTTCATTGACCTGATGGCAATTGAAATCTTCACCTTTTCATCACTGAAAGAAAAAGGGAAGGCCTAGATTTTCTCCTTTTACTCCGAACACTCTTACTAGATAATTTCATAATCAACTAATTGACAAATCCAGGCAACTTTTATCTCTACACGTATTTCAAATGTGCCAGCTTTGCTCCACATCTACTGCTAGCTACTAATTTAGTCTTACCATGTTTTTACTGATCTACTAAAACAGGCTTCTGAGTAATCTCCTATCAACTTCTGTTGTCTCTTTCTAATAAAATCACCCATTACAAGTCAATTTGTTCTTTTGAAAACTCAAATGTTCTCATGTCATTTGAAGGTTTAAAATCTTACTGTTGCTTCATGTGCTCCAGCACTGTAGCTTGCTAATCTGTGCTATGTTATAGGAAACAAGAAGAGAATGAGGGAGACAGAAAACACACACACACAGAGAGAGAGAGAGAGAGAGAGACAGAGAGAGAGAGAGAGGAGAGAGGGAGATAGAGGAGAAAGAGAGAGTTATCTTCTTATTCAAGTAGCTGCAAATATATATTTTAGGCTTTTAAAAAATAATAATTTAGGCTTTTTTATTTGTTTGTTTCCTAACTAATACTTTTATCATTGCACTTATAGTCAAGAGCAAAAATTCTAATGTGGCTTCAAAGGTGCTGAATGAGCTGTCTGACTTCTGCCTACCTTCTAGTTCCCCTTTTTACCGCTCTTCCTTCCTTTCACCATATACTAACTCTTCTGGACTTCGTTCAGTTCTTCAAAGATGCTGAACTCCTTTCTGCCTGAGATCCTCACACCTTGTCTTTGCTCCTCTGACCCTATCTTATTAACAACTATTGGTTCTTCAGATTTTAACTCTGGGTCATCCATCTCAAGCAGTTTGTTCCCTACCACCACCACCACTACCACCGCCACTCTGTATAATTTTATCAGGTTTCATTGTTAAATGGTTTGATATCACTTTATTGTTGTCCTTTTTTGGTGAAATAATTTTACATTAAAAATATATATGAAGTATAAAATATTATTACAAATCATTATATACCCCCAATCCAGTTTAAGAAATACAATTATACTAATACCATTTAGTAAGGCATGGTGGTCAACTGGAGATTCTGTTTTCTAGCCTCTTGTGCAGCTGGTTGTGGTCATGTGATTACATACAGTTTTACAGCAGTTGTACATTTCTCTAAACAGTATATTATTTAGTTTTACACATCTGTGAATATTGTTAAAATGTTGCCATTTTTTCTCTTTCATTTTTTGCTTTTGTACTCAGTATTATGTTTTTGAGATATTTCTGTGTTAATAGGAAGACACTATTTCATTCATTTCCCATTTATTTCCTATGTAAGTTCAATTTGATGGAATTATGATATTCTATGTCATTACTATGCCTATATGCATTGTTTTATTTGTGGACATTTGGCTTATTTCTAGTTATACATACACACACACCCATATGTTATGTGTATATATACACATACTGATGTGTTTGTGATTTGTGTAGATATGCAGATTAGAAATATTGCTGTCATGAATATTATAGTAAAGTAGAATGATTTTCAACCCAATCTTGCATGAGGGTTCAATTGTGACTAACTATTTGCACAGAAAACTTTTTTTTCTTCCATTTAGAGTCAAGACTATCACAAATTATTCTTTGACCCTTCCCTTTGAGGGGACCTTTTCTAAGATGGTAAAACTGCTATCGTTTGATTTGGAAAATCTCAGTTATTAATTAGATTTCTCCGCTGAGAAGGGAATTGGCTTATGGACGGTTGTGAATATCTAATCTGGTTCATTTTGTAGTTAGTATTGTAATTCCACTTGACATTTTGAAGCCAATTGATATTGTATAAGCAGTCTGTTGGCCATTCCTACCAAATTTCTGTAGAGATTGTCTGAAAACTCTGGCTGTTTTCAAGTTTAAATATATTTAAAATTACTCCTTGCTGGAGTAATAATTCCATTTTCAAATTTAATTTACAAAGATTCTATGTAGATCAAAAAATTTCACACACGAAGATATGATCTTAACTTTTAGCAGTAACCATGAAATGTGCTTTGTTCAGCCACAAGTTTTTAAAAAGTGTCCTTTTTGATATTATTCTGGGTGTTTTAAAATCTATTTTTAGTGATGCAAGTCTATAGTAATGTAGCAAATTTGGTTTTCAATATTTTTTCAAGTATGCAGCAAAAGGTGAATGCTTTTTTTAAAAGTAACATTCAATTAGACTTTTGTGGTGAATCAAACACCCCATTTGCTGGCCATTAAAGCATCCCCAAGTGGTGTGGGAATTTTGGAGGTAGGGGTAATTAAAGTCCATGAAACACTTGGATTGAGGTCTCAGATGGGCAGCAGGAATTATAATACCTGTTACTCTATGTGAAAGTTGATAAAAAGCAGCAGTCCGGAACACTAATTGAAGTCACTAAGGGACTTGGTTCTGTGTGTGGAAAGAAGAGGGACTCGAGACCAATCTGACTTCACATACTGACTCTACTGCTGTTACTAGATGTGTGACCATCTAATGTGTTATTAGACCTTCAGTTTTCTCATCTGTAAATGGCGAATAATAATACTTATTTCATAGGATACTTACGAGGATCAGTTTTAATAATAAATTTGGAAGATCTAGAACAGAGCCTGGCACACAGTAGGCATCAACAGCAGTCATATGGCTTCTATGACATAGCAACTAAACCAAATTTTTTTTATGAAGGAGAGATATCAAAGAGCTTTTATAATAGTAGAGAGATTTTATGATGAACTTAAATAAATAGATTTTAATGTTTTTATATTTTGCAATAATTGTAACATAGATACAATTTATTTAGGGTGAAATTTGATCAAATAATGACTAAATGTTTCTTAATGTAACATAACCACTTTATTTTCCTTGAACAGTAGCCCTTTAGAAAGAAAACGATATAGCTAGATCCTTACTTTGTTTTACTAAAATATAGTCCAATTGGATTAAAGATTTAAATGTTAAAACTTTTTAAAGTAAGGGCAAAATATATTGGAATAAACTTGCATATATTTTTGTGTGACAATAGTTTGGCTATGCAGGGCATAATGTCTAGACACCAGAAATGGAAAGATAAGTCTGACTGAAACCAGTGGCAAATCCATATAGGTCTGCAGCAAACTCGATGCTTGCCTTCTTGGAGGAAAGAATTCAGCCAAGGGGCAGAAGTAGGTTTAAGGCAGAGGGAGAGACCAAGGCAAGTTTTAAGATTGAGAGTTTATTTAAAATGCTTTAGAGCAGGAATGAAAGGAAGCAATGTACACTTGGAAGCGGGCCAAGCACGTGACTTGAGAGATCCAAGTTCTCTGTTCAGCCTTTGACTTGGGGTTTTACACATTAGCATGGTTCTAGGGTTTCCATTTCTCTTTTCTTGACTCTTCTTTTGTGGTAGGCTGTCCACATGCACAGTGGCCCTCCAGCACTGGGGAGGGGCTGCATGCACAGTGTGTTTACTGAAGCTGTGCACATGTTCATTTGAGGTGCTTTCCCTTACCAGTAGTGCATTCCCAGAGGAAGGTTATGTACCAGTTAAACACCACCATTTTGCCTCTTAGTGCACATGCTTGAGCCCACTCGTTCAACTCCTAACATCACCAGCTCAGGTGTTTTCTACCTATCGGGATACTGTCTTTCACTGGCACTGGCTGCAGCCAATTATCATTTCAGAGCGACAGTTTAGCAACCACTAGGCCATCAACTAATGTTTGCTTGACATTCCTGGGGAGATGGTCCTCTCCTGCACTGTTCATGTCTGACTAACTACCTACTGTAACATGACAACAGGTATTTTAGAATTTATAAACTGCGTAAATGAATTCCAAAGTCAAGAACAAATTGGGAACATTTTTGGTGGCAAATATGATGAGAAAATGGCCATTACTCTAGTATACAAAGAGCTACTGCAAATAAATTTAAAAACACTACTTCGATTTCAAAATTGACAAAACTGAATAGACCAGAAAAATCAATACAAACAAACAATAAATATTTAAAGCATGCTCATCCACACTCATGATTTTTATAATACAAATTAATATGGCATTTTTCAACTATCCAAATATTAGCCAATACTCATTTAATAGTTTATAGTTTTGGCATGTGTGTGGTGAAGCAGGCACATCTATTCACTTGCTGGTACTGTAAATTGCTGGAATGAAATATGGAATATGTATACCAAAATTTAAAATGTACATACCTCTGCCAGTAATTCATTTACTTAATAAACTCAAAGCTGTATGCATTTAAGAATTTTCTTTGCAGGATTGGCCACACGGATTTTGACAAAAAAATCTTAGGTAAATCTGAATCTTCATGATAGAGAAACAGTAAAATTAATAAAATTAGTTATATCCTTAACATAGTGTGCTATTAGCTGTTTAAAAAAATAGGAGAGAACTATAATATGCAAATATTGAATGATTTGCAAGTATTTTAATGTGAAAAAAGTAATATGTAAACAATTTTTACTGTAAACATATATATATGCAGAGAAAAAATAATTATAAGTGTGGATATAGGGTACATATTAGAAATTTTTCTGGAAAGAATGTTTTTAAATGTTGAGAGTAGAATTAGCGATTTCAGTGTGGAATAGCAGGAAGGAAGGAATAATACCCATTAATGATTTCCTGAACTATTTGAAAGTTCTCCTCTGTTCATGTATGTTTTACTTTAATTTTTAAAAATTAATGCAGTCAATATGATGATAAAAATGTACAAATTATAAAGGACTAAAATTAAATTAAATGTCATTAGGATCCAGCAGATTATTTTAGGTATTGGAAAACATGTACAATATGCTCTTGAAAGGGAACTGTCAAAACGACATTCTGGAGGTGAAATGATGCATGCATTTGTGTCTAATGAGCTTTATTTTCCCCCAGACAAAGTCAAAGGAAGATCAAGAGCAGGGACCCACTTTGACTCAGCCCGGAGACGGAGTCGAGCAGTCCTTTATCACATCTCTGGGCACCTGCAAAGAAGAGAAAAGAACAAATTGAAAATAAATAACGTAGGTGGTATGTGTGTACAGGACGAATGCTAGTGTTTCCCCTGGTGGCAATGTTTGACTCGTTAAAGAAAGGCCTCAATTACCCATTTACTGGCTTGCCTACATTTTTTTTTTCCACTTTGGTTTGTGCTTTTCTATATAGAACAAACTGGAAAAGGTCAGCAGTCATGAGGCATTTCTATAATAAAAGTGCTTAATCATAGTGTTATCACAGCATAGAGATTAGAATATTATTGCAGTGAAGTAAATATGGTACTAGGGACACTGCAAATGGGGACACACTGGTTACATTTTATGAAACAAAAATGATGCAGCAAGTCATATTACACATTCATAGTTTATTGGTTAAAATTTCTCAAATTTAATTTTAGTTCCATCGTTTTGCACATTATCTAGTTCTACAAATGCTTTTATCCAGGAGAAACATGACCAAATCAAAGCCATTACGCCACTAAAAAACTTTCATTATATATAAAACACAGTTGAAAATTTCACAGTAAAACACTGGATTTACAATTGCATACCATACATTAAACAATTTTGGAAAGTCACACTTTTAGTAAATTATAATAGAGTTGCTTTCTGAAATATGGTGTCTCTCTGTCAAAGCCACAACAAATAACTATGCCTGTATAAGGTGATTCTTTCCAATTTTACATGGCATATATCCTCCAGGATTTCACACTGAATTTTGTAACTGGTTCTTAGCACTAAGAGACTTCACTGAGAAACCTAGAACAATATCTATTTAGTTGTAGATAGTCAGAGTTTTAAAATGATGTTAATGTCATTAATTTGCCTTATGGAATCATCAAAACATATATGGGGGGTTGTGTGACCATAGGTGGCAGATTAAATACCAGCATCTAACTTGCCAATGACAAGAAAAAGTCACATGAAATGACCAGATCTATTTTGGAATTGATTTAAGATCCAGAAGTTCTGGGAGTTAACGACAGAGGGGGGATACTTTGGCATTTTATTTTTAACATAGCAAGCTCAAGGACTACCTAATCTGACATACACATACACATGCTTTGATAAAACAGGACCATTCATCAGACATACAAAGTATTCATTTCTCTGATTGTAGTGAACAAAGAAAGATGTATGAACCCAGGGTGAGGAGCGAGATTTGACATGAACGTGCTGCAAACCTGGCTCTACTTCAGTGCAACTTTCCGGAAGCCAAAACAAGATGTTTTGAATCATTTGTCCTCCCAGGACCATCAACCATGTCCGTGCTGGTCTGCCATGTACCACTGTGGAGGGTCACATTTTGATTTTTTTTTTTTTTTGGTCCTAATTCAATATAAAGGTTCTCTAGGGATACGTGTGCCCTAGTGTTATATTGATTTCCTGGGAATCCAGGGAGAGGCTTGAAACAGTACACACCACTTGATCTATGGATCCTTCCACTGGTGCCTATTTACATCCCCTTTCAGTTACCAAGTCAGCCTTAGTGACATAAGCAAGTTATAGGAAGAAACAAAGGTAACTACATCTGGGCTTGATTCCATGCAAACCAACCAGCAAAGCACCTAAACAAATATTATCCACAGATTCTGTAAGGCTGAAAGCTGACACTATCTAGCTTTTAGTGGAGAATTTAAACGTAGTAAGAATTAGTGCTTTAAAATGCATTTGCTGGGCATGCTATTTTTCCCTTTAGATTTAACAAAGTACAAAGCAGTACTTAAAAATATGATTTCAAAAAAAGTATAACTCCCATTACTTAGCTAATTTGCTTAATTGCCATTCATTTAAGAAATACAAACATCAAGGTAGAGTATTAAAATAATACATAGTAATTTAAGACGCCTAATCAGCACAGTGACTCTAATACTACAGGTAATACTACAGGTAATATCTAATACTACAGGTAATATCTTATTCCTGAAGCAAAGTATGGAATCAGGAATTGCCCTGTTCACCTGTTCACCATCTCCTTTCAGGAATAACAAGAGTAGAATGGCTAAATGGCAGATAGAAGGAAGACAGAAGGGAGAAGAGGAAATGACTTGTATAGTTTATTAAATAAACAAATTTTCTGGAAATTCTGGCTGTAATAACATTTGCACACACAAAAAATAATTCTTAACATTTTATAGTCGTTTGCTATTTACAAATTCCTTTTACTTAAATCATATTATTTGATTCTCATAGAAGCCAGTACTAGGTCTGATTTTTATTAGTCCCATTTTAATGATGGAAAAAACTCAACTTATTAGAAGCAGCAGTTGTGGTACCCAATCTTTAATCTTCTAATTCAAAGCCACTGTGCTTCTGACTCTTACCTTGCTGTTTCTCAGATACAGTTCTGTGGAACAGGAATATATGCTTCAGCCGTAGTCAAATGAACTCATCAGGTCATCAGCAGGTTTGGGAATCAAGATGCAACATATTTTAGTCTGGCTCTAACTTTGCCTGGTATACCTTGAAAAAGGTGTTTTCAAATTCTACCTTCCTTAATTTGTTATTCTGTCAATCAAATAAGAATGAGATGATGCAAATGTTTCCAACACGAAGAAATGTTAAAGATCACACTAGAGCCTTGGAAGCTTGAAAGGAGAGTGCTACAAATGCGTATTTCCGGCAGGGGACAGTGGTAATCATCAAAGGCATACACTGGCTTTAGATTACTCACTGAAATGACTGTAGAAATATTTTCACATTCTCTTGCTCATTCAGATGATAGCTTCAAAGGAACTATTGCAAAAATAGTTTAGGAAACAATTACCTTAATTAGGCACTGGAGTTAACTATTTTGTTGGTGTCACAGGTTAGAGGTTAAACATCTAAAACACCATTGGTACTAAAGAAATATGATTGAAGATTAATAAGTAAGATAAACCTAACATCTAGAGTAGACAAACTCCATGTTTGACAGTTACAAATAACATGTCTTCTTCCCTGCTTCCTGCTAAAAAGCATAATTTTACAACTGTGTAGAATTTTTCTTTACAATTTTAAGTATTTTTTTCATTTGAAAGGATTTTGATAAAACGTTACAAAAACTGGTGGAAGAGGAGGAGCATCTATTTTTTTTCACTCAGGTGATTATGTAAAGATGTTTGCAGGATTTGAGTTAACAACATTTCAAAATTTAAATCTAATCTCAAATGCATTGAATTCTCAGTATCTTTTAAAAATATTTTTAAAATATGTTCTAAGTAGCTTACAAAATGAAACCATGTGATTTATTTTCTGATTTGTACAGAAAAGTGATATATTGCTGAACTTTTGTGACAGAATCCCTAATGCTTCATTATCAGCATAATCAAAAACAAAAGCAAAAACTTCACTTTTTAGTTTTCCCAAATCATTACCCCTGGATATCGATGTTCCCTCAAACACTGTAAAATTTTAATTTCTGTAATATGATAGGAAAAATTTATGTGGATAGAAAATGAGATATTTCCCATGGCTTCTGATAACTCTTTATTGTAGTAAATATTCAGGGAAAATTTGGATTAGAATCAATCATGTTGTTATAACTAGAAGTGTTTATCAATAGTGGGAAGATTAATGGTTACAGACCTCAATTCCCTCTTCCAATGTAACAGACTGAATTTTTATGAGAAGCCCAACAGGGCTACTTCGTCTCCTCTTCTCTGTTTTATGCCAAAGTCTACCTTTGGAACTGGTTTCTTCAAACCAGAGAATGAGGCAAAGGAGACAGGATGAATATCAGGGAATTGTATGAAACATAGATGCAGTGGCAGATGGGCATCTAAGGACCATCTGGAAATAGTTTAACAGTGACCCACCACGAAGTGCTGACATTATGAGATGCCTGTGTGGGTTGAGTGAGAATATTAACAGGAAGTGGAAACATGGGTTGAAAATACCTACCAAAGAGAAATGCCAGACAGGGGTGCATTAATATCAAGGTAGCAAAACTATTCAATCACTGACAGTCACCACTTAGAGCTAGATGTCCCTGATGTTTCTGAACCTTTCTTGAATCCTCAGGTACTTCAGGATCCCTGAACACTTCACATTAATCTGCCCTTCCCTCAATGAGTGAGACAGGCACAACATAGTGACCTACAAGTAATATATATTCTGGAATTTTTAACTGCTCTGTTAATTCAACTAAACTTTCAAATATAAGTTTCCATTACCTATCTTGGATTTCTCATTAATTGAGGTCAAAGCAAGGTCTGCAAGTATCTGGTCACAGGCTTGTCAAATTTCCACACATGCTATTGTTGGGCCTCCCTTTGTCTTCTAGCAACAAGGGAATTGTTCATCAATTTGAACTGCATTCAAAGCGAAGTGCTTTTGCAGTTATCAAAAACTCCAGCTATTCTGCATTTAGTCAATTGCACAGTGAACACTGGCTTTCTCCTCCCCTGACTTGAATAATAACTCTTAAGTAACTGTTTCTTACTTTACCATCTGAACAATGTCTGGTGCATGTCAGACTGCATCTGTGTCTATCAAGGTAATGAGGTTTGGGTTCCCAACTTCACCAACAGCCACAGTGCAAAAAATGAAAGTAGTTAGCATGACTTAGCTATATTTGGAAAGAAATGTAAACTGTTTACAATATATTATTGGTCATATATCTATTCTTTTTGGAAAGAAAGATACCATTGCTGTCATGAGTAAAATATCAGGTCAAATGTAGTCTTTAGATAATGACTGTCATCAGAAATCTATAAGTATACAGAATGTTCCCATGACAATAGGAATGTAAATATAGCTTTGTGTTTATAATGTGTGTAGGATTACATGTAACTGTGAATGTTTTTTGATGACATCTTAGGTAATGGTCTTTTTTATTTTTTAATGAACAAAATCTGGGTTACTCACTTAGCTTCATGACTAAACTCTGCATATTCCTGTTCCTTATAACAAAGATCTCTGCTCAGTTTTAGATGTTTAGATGTTTTGCATCACCAACTTTTAAAAGTCACTTGTAAGATATTGCATTGTGTCGTGAATGATCCTTCTCACAAAAGTGTATGTTTCAAACTATGTAAACCTTGTTTCTAATGTTGTGTTTCTCCTTTCTCTCCTTTTGGTCTTCATCCACAGAATGTTTTTGTAGATAAACCAGCATTTCCGGAGTATAAAGTTTCTGATGCAAAAAAGTCCAAATTCATACTTTTGCATTTTAGCACTTTTAAAGCTGGCTGGGACTGGCTTATTTTGTTGGCAACGTTTTATGTTGCTGTGACTGTACCTTACAACGTTTGCTTTATTGGCAATGACGACCTATCCACAACTCGGAGCACAACTGTCAGTGACATTGCAGTGGAGATCCTTTTTATTATAGGTAAGAACAAACAGCTGCTTTCTAGGATATTTGCATATGGGAAGTGAAGTGTGTTCCAGATTTTTCTGACATGAATTTGAACTAAGATCCATTTGCATGGGCGTGATTCAGCCTCTGATGCAAATTTTGGAGAAGCGCATACTGTATTTGGATTTCTGAAAATTGCCTCTTCCAACTTTTCCTGTTCCTTTATTCAAACAGATCTAAACTGATCTCCTGTGTTTCTATACTTATTTCATCCAAAATGGGCTAAAAAAGATTTAACAGCTGTTTTGTTTGTGTTCTCACATCCTTCATCATCTTAAACTTGTAGGGTCAGAGATGGGATTTGGCAAAAACCCACCAGTGGTGTTGTGACAGTGGTCCACTCCTTGACGTGGTTCTTTCTCCATGCCCTTCCGTGCCCTTTCAGCACGTTGATGGTTTCAATAGGTGACCTGGTTGCAGAAACAAAGCGTTACATAAGCCTTGCAGTAAATCTGGAGAAGCAGTGAGTATCTGATTTTAATTAAAGAAAAGGCCCCAAAGGATGTTTGTTAAGAGAATTTATCCCTAGAATATTGGGTACCTCAGTTGAAGCTGCATCTGTGCCAATTTTGTAAGCCTTTTCCTATTTTCCTGTCCTTTAAATCTTCATCTTGTTTAGACCAAAGCCTAGCTTTAGCTTGCTCATTCTAGGACAGATTCCGGGTCTTTAAGTCCCTGACGTAAAGTCAACAGGGACTTAAACTTAACTTAAAGTCTGTTAAGTCAACAGATTGACTCCCTGTTGAATTATTGACTGTCATTAGCAGCTGATACCTGCTTCTTTCCTTGGTCATGTTGATAGAGGGCTATATTCTTACTGTAAAGATGAGAGAATGTTTGAAAACATTACCATGCAGGTAGGTGAACACAGGAGTAAGAAATGGATCTTAAAATTTCAAAGAAAAATAAATAAATAAGTGAGGCACATCAAAACCTTGGTTCAATGGTGGTGGTAGTTGTTGTTTTTTTTTTTTTTTTTTTTTTGGTTGTTTTTTTCTCAGTGAAGCTGTGACATCTTTGAGGTTAGAGTGAGTTTTCTTGTTGAATGTCAGCACGTTTGCTTTGGATGAGTTTGTGTGCTCTTGGTATGGCTTGCCATCATTATTAACATTGTATCTACTGGGCACATCCTTCAGAGCCTTGATAGGACACCTGCTGTCACCCCAGAAGTGGTAGCTGTAGTGTGTTTAGGCCACTAGATGGCAATGTTGTCTAGTTAGGCAGATGGCAAATTTATTTTTAATTTTTTAATTTTAAAATATAGCTATCCTTTATTAGAAAGTTGTAACCATAAAGGGATCTGTTAAATAATGGTTAAATGGAAAATAACATTCCAGTTTGAACAAAAATTTAAAATGAAAATGGTAGACAAATTGGGTGTGTCTATGGTTTTGTATCCTTTTACTTTGCCAACATTTGACGTCTTCTTCCACCCACCCATGATGCACACATAAATTAACATCCTAAAAACACTCTCCATGACCTGGTCAAAATTCTCAAGAATTTGGGCAGTCACTCAACATGTCTAAGCCTTCATTTTTTGTAGTAACAATTGCATAGGGTTTCATGAAATAATAGATGTAAGTATCTGCTTAACAAATATTTCATCATCTTATTATTGTTATTTACAACTTTGTTATTAGGTTAAGTTATATCTTGAACTTTCCTTTCCATTCTTCCTGGTTCTTAGATATTTGAAATTCTTTGGCCTTAGAAGCCACTTCTGTTACTGTGTGTTCATTAACAGATGATGACTTATTTACTCCCATAAAAACTCATACTTTTGAAGGAGATATTTTAAAAGTTTTTGTTTATTTCGTTTTAAGGCTGCTTTTCTCTACTAAACCAATGGAGACTCTTTTGCTCCCCTGATAGCAACCCCTAAATTCTTCTGTGTTTTTTATTACTGTCATTTCTACTGTTCTTCAGGCAGCAAGATGGTTCTCCCAGTAGGCAATATCCATCCCTTACTAGCTACATGACAAAGGAATGAAAACCCATTCCAATTTTTTTGCAGTTTACTTTCTGCAAAGATTCGTTTAGGATTTGAAATTTTGGTCTGCAAGCAGTTCTAGTGTGACTCCTGCCTGAAATCCCTTGTTGATGGACTTATTTTTATAAGCAGTAAAAACTTTCCTGTTCTTTCCTGGTGTTATCTGCTTGCTCTTTCTTTTGAATGAGTTTAAGCGTATCTACAATTATAGCATATTTAGAAAAATGACTTAAATTAATATTTCTCTGTTTCCCCCAAACCTTTATTCTATAAAATACTTCAAAAAGGTGGCCTAACAGTGATCATTGACAAGTAAGTTAAAATACTGGGGACAAAACAGTTGCCTGTAATATTGTATCTTTATAATGTGAAGGTAGTGTTCATACCATTTAATATTTGTTAAATTACTGCAGACTTAAACTTCTCTGTCTGACAGCTTTGAAGAGAGTAATCCTTCTCCTAGCATGGAGTTTGAGATCTGAGAATGAACAGACTGCCTCCTCAAGTGGGTCCCTGATCCTGGAGTAGCCTAAATGGGAGATACCTCCCAGTAGGGGCTGACTGACACCTCATATTGCCAGGTGCCCCTCTGAGACGAAGCTTCCAGAGGAAGGATCAAGCAGAAACAGGGATGCAAGAGCAAACACATTCAAAAGCCAGCAGAAGGCAAGAAATAACCAAGATCAGAGCAGAACTGAAGGAGATCGAGACACAAAAAACGCTTCAAAAAATCAATGAATCCAGGAGCTGATTTTTTGAAAAGATCAACAAAATTGATAGACCACTAGCAAGAGTAATAAAGAAGAAAAGAGGGAAGAATCAAATAGATGCAATGAAAAATGATAAAGGGGATATCAATACAGAGAATACTGTAAAAATCTCTATGCAAATAAACTAGAAAATCTAGAAGAAATGGATAAATTCCTGGACCCATACACCCTCCCAAGACTAAACCAGGAAGAAGTTGAATCCCTGAATAGACCAATAACAGGCTATGAAATTCAGGCAATAATGAATACCCTACCAACCAAAAAAAGTCCAGGACCAGACGGATTCACAACCGAATTCTACCAGAGGTACAAGGAGGAGCTGGTACCATTCCTTCTGAAACTATTCCAATCAACAGAAAAACAGGGAATCCTCCCTAACTCATATTATGAAGCTAAACATCATCCTGATACCGAAGTCTGGCAGAGACACAACAAAAAAAGAGAATTTTAGACCAACATCCCTGATGAACATCAATGTAAAAATCCTCAATAAAATACTGGCAAGCCGAATCCAGCAGCACATCAAAAACCTTATCCACCACAATCAAGTGGGCTTCATCCCTGGGATGCAACGCTGGTTCAATGTATGCAAAACAATAAACATAATCCATCACATAAACAGAACAAAAGACAAAAACCACATGATTATCTCAATAGATGCAGAAAAGGCCTTCAACAAAACTCAACAGCCCTTCATGCTAAAAGCTCTCAATAAACTAGGTATTGATAGGACGTATCTCAAAAAAAAAAGGTGCTATTTATGACAAACCCACCCCCAATATCATACTGAATGGGCAAAAACTGGAAGCATTCCCCCTCTCTCTCCACTCCTATTCAACATAGTGTTGGAAGTTCTGGCCAGGGCAATCAGGCAGGAGAAAGAAATAAAGGCTACTCAATTAGAAAAAGAAGCAGTCAGATTGTCCCTGTTTGCAGATGACATGATTGTATATTTAGAAAACCCCATCGTCTCAGTCCAAAATCTCCTTCAGCTGATAAGCAACTTCAGCAAAGTCTCCAGATACAAAATCAATGTGCAAAAATCACAAGCATTCCTATACACCAATAACAGAAAAACAGAGAGCCAAATCATGAGTGAACTCCCATTCACAATTGCTTCAAAGAGAATAAAATACCTAGGAATCCAACTTACAAGGGATGTGAAGGACCTCTTCAAGGAGAACTACAAACCGCTGCTCAACGAAATAAAAGAGGACACAAACAAATGGAAGAACATTCCATGCTCATGGATAGGAACAATCAATATTGTGAAAATGGCCATACTGCCCAAGGTAATTTATAGATTCAGTGCCATCCCCATCAAGCTACCAATGACTTTCTTCACAGAATTGGAAAACAACTACTTTAAAGTTCATGTGTAACCAAAAAAGAGCCTGCATTGTCACGACAATCCTAAACCAAAAGAACAAAGCTGGAGGCATCATGCCACCTGACTTCAAACTATACTACAAGGCCTACAGTAACCAAAACAGAGGGATACTGGTACCAAAACAGAGATATAGACCGATGGAACAGAACAGAGCCCTCAGAAATAATACTACACATCTACAACCATCTGATATTTGACAAACTTGACAAAAACAAGAGATGGGGAAAGGATTCCCCATTTAATAAATGGTACTGGGAAAACTGGCTAGCCATACATAGAAAGTGGAAACTGGATCCCTTCCTTACACCTTATACAAAAAATTAATTCAAGATGGATTAAATACTTAAATGTTAGACATAAAACCATAAAAACCCTAGAAGAAAACCTAGGCAATATCATTCAGGTCATAGGCATGGGCAAAGACTTCATGACTAAAATACCAAAGCAATGGCAACAAAAGCCAAAATTGACAAATGAGATCTAATTAAACTAAAGAACTTCTGCACAGCAAAATAAACTATCATCAGAGTGAACAGGCAACCTACAGAATGGGAGAAAAAATTTACAATCTACCCTTCTGACAAAGGGCTAATATCCAGAATCTACAAAGAACTCAAACAAATTTACAAGAAAAAAATCAAACAACCCCATCAAAAAGTGGGCAAAGGATATGAAAAGACACTTCTCAAAAGAAGGCATTTATGCAGCCCACAGACACATGAAAAAATTCTCATCATCACTGGCCATCAGAGAAATGCAAATCAAAACCACAATGAAATACCATCTCACACCAGTTAGAATGGCGATCATTAAAAAGTCA